CTCCATCGGCCACAAAGAGCTCCCAGAACCGGATCTCACACTTAGTCATTTTTACATTCTTTGTACTCAGCCCAGTAGTGGCCCAATTGTAAACGGGCCTCCCAAGCCCAAGACTTGGGAGCCCAGCCCTAATTTTCTCTATAAATACTATCCTTGGGAGTAGTTATGGGAGGGTCACAAATCATTAATAGCAAGAATTTAATGCACTTCTCTCTCTAGCTCTCACCTCTCTCTAGACAATTACTCTATCACTAACATTTATGCTAATTGATATTCTCCCATTATTTGTCATGCCATTTAAAAAATACGTAATTTTGCTGTATTGTGTCGATAATCCATATTTTAAGAATGTGAACGATTAATTTACTTATTTACAACCCTTTAGCTCCAATATTTGCATCTTACTTTTTTTGAAATGAAAATTGTAAAACTTTGTATTACATGTATGCAACCGACATTCATTTGTTTAAATAGAGCTGGTTTCAAAATTAGAAGGGGCAGCGATTAAAAACATAAAATTAATTTGAGATTTGTTTCAAAATATTGTTAAAACTAATAAGAGTGGTTTTGATAAATTAAACGTGGGTTTAGTTGAACTCGTTCATTGTCTTCATTATTTAAGTCACAGAGTTTTTCAAATCTTTCAAAAAGTGCGGAGTATATCCCAACATACATCAATTATATCGACCAACTCATTCACGGAGAATGATATGTGCAGTGATAAATATATATACAAAATGATCTCAAATTATATTCTACATCGGGAGTGTACGTGTACACCCTGTTATTTTGTAATTGTTAGAAACTTTAAACCTTTGCTCTCTCCATCTTCCTTTTCGCTGGATCTTCGTTCAATCCTCCTTGTTCTTCCACCGTTTTCCTCTTTTACCTTTTCTCGCTGGATCTTTCTTCCATTCTCTTTTCTTTTCTCTTCTCTTCAGCCGCTTACTCGTTTTGGACATGCATCTACTTCTAACACTTTTCCTCTTTGATTTGTCCATCACCTTGTACCTTATTCATCCAGAAAAGTGCGAGAAGAATGATATACATATGTGGTAGTATATTGAATGGCGGATTGCTCTAATCCAAAATACACGGGTACCCACTTCGTCCTTGTTACTCAGCAATTTTTGTTGGCTTAGCTGTTTTCTACGCATCTACAGTGGCAGTACTTTTTTGTAACTTTTGCTGCCAATCAACTGAATTTCTTTCTCGAAACTTCATGATAAGGATTGCCCCACTTCAATAATTTGGTATATGCAGATTGCAGAGGTTAAAAAAACTTTGATCCTAAATTTAATTACGATGCTTTTTAAAACAGTGGATTCGATGTTGTAAACCTTCTCCGTTTTGGATACTAGTTTTGTAAGTTATGTATGTTCATTTAGTATCTCTGTTATGCGCATTTTTAAAATATTTTAGCAATGTACTACGTATATTTTAAAAGTCTCACATTACATTAGATTTATATAGGAGTTCATTATAGACACGAGACCACAAATCATTACTCAATCGCGGATTCTAATACTCAATAACGGGGATTTAATGCCCATTGAAAATGTTTTGATGCTCAACGAATAAAGCTTAAAATTTTCATATCAATACTCATCTTGTAAGTTACACATGCTCATTTGTATATGTTTGATGCTCATTAATAATTCATTAATGCTCATTTAATAGAAATCATGATTTTCATCAATCTCAATAGAGGAGTTTTGATGCGGAATGAAAATGTTGTGATGTTCAACCAACAAAGCAACTAACAAATTCATCAATACTCATGTTGTAAGTTACATGCGCTCATCTGATAATGATCTTATGCTCATTTTCTAAATGTCATATAAATGCATTTTTAAAAGTATTATTTTATGACGGACTCCTAATACTCAACATAATAGGTTTGATGCTCATTAAAAGTTCATTATTTCTCAATCACAAGAAACTATTATTTTCATCTCAATAGCAAATGTTTGATGCTCAATTAAAATATCGTGATGTTCAACTAACAAACATTACGATAAAAAATAACAAAAAGAAAGTGAATTAGAAGATTGTGAATATTAGATTCCGAATACTCAACAGAATAGGTAGGGTGCTCATTAAAACTTCATTATTCTCCAGAAGTCGTGATTTTCATCTCAATAGTGGAGATTGATGCTCATTTAAAATGTCATGATGTTCAACTAACAAACTTTACGATTTTCATATAATGTGCACTTTGTAAGTTATGTATGTTCATTTTGTACTAATGTTATGCTCATTTTTAAAATGGCATATCAATGCATGTTGCAAGAGTATCATATTACATTAGACTCGCATATTGAAATTAATAGGAGTAAATTATAGATATAATTTAATAAGTTTTTATAAAAGAAAAAATAACAAAAAAAAAGAATTAGAAGATGTGAGCAGGCCTTCTAATACTCAATAAAATAGGTCAAATGCTCATTAAAAGTACATTATTGCTCATTTAGCAGGAGACGTGATTTTTTTCTTAAATTACAAAACTGCCACTGTTAAAATAATTGGCCCCTTTGCTTGTTTTCCACTCCGGATCTGTTGTTTATGGGGTTTGCTCGTTATTTATTGTGGGCCTCCCACTACAAAAAATAGCACGTTTGTCATGGATTTTTGTCACGGATTCCGTCCGTGACAAAGTTGTCACGGTCTTTGTCACGGTATTGTCACAAAACTATTTGTCACGGATATTTCCGTGACAAAGTTGTCACGGACGGAATCCGTGACAAATATCCGTGACAAACACCCTCCGGTAACCGGTAAATTACTCCGGCCAAATTTTATTACGTCCGGGCACCTTGTCACGGATTGATCCGTGACAAATCCGTGACCAAATTCAAAAATCTTTGTCACGGATCTATCCGTGACAAACCACAATAATTGATACTCCACCGGCAGCCAATTAATGTTGTACGAAAAGGGTGTTGTCACGGATTGTTCCGTGACAAATCCGTGACAAAAAAAATCTACATATACCGCAACATGGTTTCATTCGAGTTATATCGGTTAGAATTTCATCACAATATAATACAATATCTGTTGAATGATTGAATGATGTAATCTATCATTTTATCATTTTCCCCGTTTATGCAGATAAGGTATGTCATTTCAATTATGTATTTTTTTTATTAGGTATTAATTTTTTCATTTTAAACAATTAAAATTTTGAAATTAGTGATGAGGTTGTTAATTTATTAACAATGTATTTAACCATAAACGTAATTTAGTTAAATTTAAATATTAGTTAATTGAAAATGGATTATAAAATTATTAGGTTTGTTTTTTTTGACTAGTTATTAGGTTTGTTTATTATATTAGCAATTACTTTTAATGCCTAATTTAGGATTTATATATAGTGATTTAAGTTAGGATTGAAGCATTAGTTTAGTGTGAATTATTAGTTAATCGAAATGAGTTTGAATTGATAATATTATTAGGTAATACCGTTAATTTAGGATTTGAATTGATAATATTATATGATGGAGTGAGTATATGGGTCTAGGCCCCAGGACCCACATACTCAGAAGAACAGAAGGTACCATGATCACTGGGTGACCTCGTCGGCCATGCCCTCATCGGCCATGCTCTCATCGGCCAGAAAAAGGTCTACTCAGAATATGATCCAGAAGCCCGGAGAACCGGGTGACCTCGTCGGTCATGCCCTCGTCGGCCATGCCCTCATCGGCCATGCCCTCATCGGCCATACCCTCGTCATCCATAGATAGCCTCTAGAACATGATTTTATACTTATCATTTATATACACTTTGTATCCGGCCCATTAGTGGCCCTGTTGTAAATGGGCCTCCCAAGCCCAAGACTTGGGAGCCCAACCCTAATTTTCTCTATAAATACTCCCCTTGGGAGTAGTTATAGGGGTTCAGAATTCATTAATACAAAGCAAATATACTACTTCTCTCTCTAGCTCCCACTTCTCTCTAGAATCTAGGAGTTAATACTCCATCATTATATTAGTTAAACTTAAATATTAGTTGATTGAAATGGATTTAAATATGAATTATTTGAATTTCATTTCATTTACATGTTAGTTAATTATTTATTGTGTATTATTAGATTTTCATAACTTTAGTATTCTGAATTAATGTCATTAACGTAATAATTTAGTGTATATTAGTGTTAAAATCCTAATAAAATTAGATTTTCATAATTTTTCATTTTAAATAATTAAAATTGTTAAATTAGTGAGGTTGTTAATTTATTAACAATATATTTAACTATAAACGTAATTTAGTTAAATTTAAATATTAGTTAATTGAAAATGGATTATAAAATTATTAGGTTTGTTTATTATATTAGCAATTATTTTTTATGCCTAATTTAATTAGGATTTATAGTGATTTAAGTTAGTATTGAAACATTAGTTTAGTGTGAATTATTAGTTAAATGTAAATATTAGTTAATTGAAATGAGTTTGAATTGATAATATTATTAGCTAGGTAATTAGTTAATAATTTAAATGATTAGTGTGTAATTACTTAATAATTTAAATGACTAATGATTAAATTTAGCTTGTGAACTTTAGTGAAATGTAATATATTAATGTTCGTAAATGTTAATTAATTATGATTCAAAAGTTAGTTAGTTGAAATGATTAATGTCACAAACATATTGCTTTTAGTTATGATTAATTATTGTTTATAATTTGTAATTTTTATAATATTAAATTAATATTTTTTTATTATAATATTCATGCATTATGTATAGACAAAATAAAAGTTGGATGTATGATAAACATGACGAAAAAGAGGAATGAGACCTCAATATTTTGAAGGAATTCAAGAGTTTATTAAATTTTCACTTGAACATAAGGATCATATGGATGGTGATAGAATCAGATGTCCATGTGTCAAGTGTAAAAATCTCAAATTTAAAGACCTCGATGATGTTGTGTGAGATTTGTACGAAAAAGGTTTCGTACAAAAAATTGGGTTGAAGCTTTAAAAAATTAAAAAAATACCCGGGTGCAGTATATACAAACTCCAAAATGATGAGGAAATTAGAATAAACTATCAATTTCGATTTTTCAATCTTCAAATAAAATATAATGAATTTAAACAAAAATATACTTGAATATAAACCAAAACAAGAAACATGTATATTACCTTAAGAATCTGAATTCAGTCTTTACGGCAAAAATAACACGACATAATTAATGACTGACTAAGAAATCTGAGAACCCAAACACAACTTAAACGAATCACATGAAGATGGTCCCAAGGAATGAGATGATTAAGAAAGCAAATTGAGCGGCCGAAGCATTAAAGGCCGGCATAGCACCACCGGACGCCGGTGGAGAATTTCCGCCCGTCGCCGGAGTACTGGACTGAGGTGGGTTCTCTGTTTCGAGCACTTTGATGACCATCTTCAGCCCTCTCTCGCAGTGGCCTGAAACCCCACTGATGAAATAGAACAAACCGGGACGCTCCAACTTATAGACAGTGTGCCCATCGTTGGAGAAGAAAACCGGTCTAGCCGACCGGCACTTCTCGTACTCCTCCTTGCTCACCACCATAACTGAATCCTTCTGGTACTCAAACCCTATATCACAATTTTAATCAATTAACGTCTCCATTTTAGTAATAAGTAAAACGAAAAGCATAAAAGGGTAGAGTAAATAGTACTCTTATTTTGTAATCCTGGTTTGGTTTATATGATGGTATTATAAGGGCAATATTGTGATGGTTTTAAAGGAATCACAGATCAAACGAAAAAGGAGCATAGCAGAAGTATATAAATTAAATACACACTTACTAAGAATGTCATCAACTTTGAAGCGGTTCTTGGAAGCCCAATCATTATAGAGCTGGTCATCTTTGGGAATGACCCAACCCTTCTCGCCACCGACGGAGAACTCGTTCGAGAACGCTGTGAAGAAATGGAGGGCGGAGAGTACGGTGAAGCACAGTAAGATTTTGGAAGAAGTTGGGATGGAGATAGAAGAAGACATTTTCGTGTATAGTTTTGAGAAGGGAGGTCTTGAATATAGTGTGAGTTATATAGAGAGGAGTTGATAGGGTCGGGGGAGATAAATCAGGAGGAAGTGGCTGCAACGGTTTAGGAGTATCAGTAGTGTTCATTTGACTTGGTTTTCATTGTATTTTTTTATTCAAAAATATATAAAAACAACTACTTCGTCTTATATTACTCCATAGTCTCCAACTTATCTTCCCAACAGAAATTTGTTTATTTTCAATTTTTTTATATACAAATTACAGTGCTCCCGCCTGGCCATCTGAACCTTATATATATTTTTTATTCCCCCAAAAAGGTGATATATACTGAAAGCCAACTTTATTTTGATGAAGAAATGAAACATATCATGAAACTTATGTCTGAATTAGTATAGTTAAATTAGGTAACGAATGAAGGACTCCAGCAGGGTTTCTAAGTTCATTCTTCTGTATAATTTTCTAAAGAAAAACCTTTAGGCCTTGTTTGGTTAGGAGGGGAGGGAAGGGGAGAGTCAAGGAGGGAAGGGAAGGGAAGGGAAGGGAAGGGGAAGGGAGGATTTTGATAAAAATTTGTGTTTGGTTGGAGAAAATAGGAGGAAAGGTTTAATGAAAATATTTTTGCAAATTACTGTTATTTGATAGCTTACTTAAAAAAATAGATACATATCTAACTATTGTGAATATTACTCATATGGTCATGAGTCATAATTTTATTTTATTTTTGTTTTTTTGATTTTTTCCTTTTTTCATTTTATAATTTTTTTAGTGTTTTATTATTTATTTTTTATTTTTTGGTTTTTAAAATTTTTAATTTTAAAAATTTTTAATTTTAAAAATTTTTCATTTTTCATTTTTAATTTTTTTATTTTTTGATTTTTTTTAATTTTTTAATTTTAAATTTTTTAAATCTTTAATTTTTTTAATTTTTAAATTTTTTAGTATTTCAAAACTTTTTGTTTTTTACCTTTTTTATATTATAATATTTTGTCCATTCACGTAGGTGGTGGATAATTTGTGGTTATCAACACGTTCCCTCCGAAATATCCCGATTTCGGGGTTTAGAATGGGAGAAAGTGGAGGATTTCAGAAGTCTTCCACTTTCTTCCCCTTCCCCCTATTTCCTTCAACCAAACACACACAAATTTCTCCCTTCCTATCCCTCCCCTTCGAAACCCTCCAACCAAACAGGGCCTTAGATTACCCTTTCTTAAGACAAACCTTTCAAAGAAAATAATGCCTTCTTCTCTTCTTGCAACTCTGTAAAGCTCCCCTCAGAACTTCAGTTCATCCATATTGATTGCTTAGTTAGATATTCACCGGAAGCAGAAACAGCAAAACTAGGCTTGGACTCGGGCCGGTTCAGGCCCGGGCCAGGCCTAGGCCCGGTCGGGCCTCCGGTTTATTAAAGGTGGGCCCGGGACCGGCCCGAGGTAAGGACGGTTCCGGTTCGGGCCGGGCCACCCGCCCGGGTCACGGGTAGGGCTACCTGCCGGGCCGGGTAAATCTATTTTTTTTTACTTATTTATACTTAAAAACAAACTTCAAGTGCATTTATTTGAAATGAAATAGGAACTACATTTCACAATTGAGAAAAAAATACAATATGAAATACATTTTGTAATCAATCGGAATTTCCCGGTCCTTTGGCTTTGTCACATGACTTAATATGCTTCCTTGCCATCCTGTATCCGCGTGAAACCCCCATGCTACACTTTTTCCCGCACCATTTGCAAGTTGCGTACCACATCCCGGTCCTCGGGACCTTCTGCGTATCAAAATTATACCGTATAACGGCATATTGACTTTCCATCTTAAAAATGGTAGATATAATAATTCTATAAATACTAGAATAGATGGAGATGAAGATGGAGAATGGAGATTGGAGATTGGAATATTGGATATTGGAGAATATGTGTATAAAAATGTTAGAAAATAGGAGTATTTATAGAAATTTTTGTAGCCCCACCCCCACCCCATCCCCACCCCCGCGGGACACCCTTGATTCAAACACCCAAGTGCCCAACGACTATATAGCCGTTTGGGGCCTTTGATTTCAATTTTTTTGTTTATTTTAGTTTGAATAAATTACATAATGTAAAATTAATTAATTAATTTTATGAATTATGTAAAGCTATTTTACAAGAACGTATAAAAAATGAAGGTAAAATTAACGTATATTTAAAAAATGAACGTATATTTATTTGAAATATGAACTACAAGTTTACAAGTTACAATTGAGAATCGAAGGTAAAATTAAAACATGAAATACTAATCAATCGGAATCTCTGACATAGGTAGAGTCACCCTAAGTTGATTCATCCATAAAGTGTTGGGATGAGGTGATGTCAATTTCTTGAGCTTTACGGGGCCGCCTTCAACCAATCGTGGTAGCATATAAGCATCTCAAGAGATTCTGCGCTCAACCTCGTTCTAGATTGCATTAGGACATTGCCGGCCGAACTAATTTCTTGTTCCACGTCAACTGTTGAAACCGGCATTGATAGCACTTGCTCAGCCATCTTTGCTAAAACCGGGAACATTCTTTCTTTTCCCTTCCACCAGTTTAGAACGTCAAATTCATCATCTTCTTCAAAATCAACATCATATTTTAAATAGAAAGAAATCTCATTAAATGTGCTTTGTTGAGTAGCGGGAGTTGTTTTAGTTTTTTTAATAAGATTGGCAAATGTAGATTTGAAAATTGATTTTCCTTTAGATGGAGATGTTTGTGTCGGGGGAGGGGGCGCGTTATCATATTGTGCATGAAATTCATTAAATAATGCATAAAATATATCACTAACCTCGTTGTATTTATTTTTCGAATCAAATGAGTTCTCGTCATACATTGGCAAAGGATCATAAAAAGCTTGATAATAATAATTCAAACATTCTTCTAAAGAACCAAGTCTAAAACGAGGATCGAAAACAAATGCAATACCATAAATATGCGGAATATGTGCATAATATTTTAAAAACTTTTTCTTCATAAAATCAGCAAAATAACTCACTGATAGGCACTAGTTGTTAGTGCCTAAGTATACATTTTTATTATTGTTTGTAATGTTTATTTACTAGTTTTGTGCAAGTTTATAGTTGTTAGTTTGCATTTGATTGTAATCGTATTTCTAGCATTTTATTGTTTGTTGTAAGTTGTAGTTAGTTTTGCTATAAGTTTAGGATAGGTTTGGAAGCAAAAAAGGATGAAGAAACCTGAGTTTTGTGCAAAACCCGGTCGGGTATGGACTTTACCCGGCCGGGTATGAAGTGACAAAGGAAACTGCTGCAAAACTAGCAAATACCCGGTCGGGTATTCCATATACCCGGTCGGGTATTCTGTGATTTCGGACCAAAGAACGTGCAGAAGACACAAAAACATGGGAAAATATTTGATTTGGTAAATACCCGGTCGGGTATGTCAAAATACCCGGCCGGGTATCCGGCATTAGGTGTTGAAAACACCTATAAATAGCCCCATTTTCCTTCACATTTCATAATCCCTTCTTCCATACTCTTTAGCTCAGTTTAGAATAACATTTCTTTATATTTTTCTAGCTATGTTTAGTCTCCAAATGAGGAGCTAAACTTCCATTCTTGGTGTTGCTCTTGAAGCTTGTTGATTATTAAAGTTGTGAGTTATTTTCTTAAACTTCTTTCCTTGAATATTAATTAATAGTTCTTTCCTTAATACCATCTCTATATTAATGTTGGGGAGTGTTGCTAAGATGACAATTAGTTAACATCTCGACATTAGTTAGAATGGTATTTTCTTCCTCTATATTAATATTGAGGAGTGTTGCTAAGATGACAATTAGTTAACATCTTGATATTAATTATAGTAGGATTCATCTTCATTAATAATATTCTTCCTTGAATATTAATTAATTCCTACTCTTATTTCATATTAATATTTTGAACATTACTTAAAGGATCAACTAGTTTTGTTTCATATATTAATTATTACTAGAAACAATCAACGAACCGATGGTTAATCGTTGATGGTTTCACAAGTAAGTAACTTCGGTTTATTAATGCACGGTCGTGGTTAATAAACTTAAGAGGGATTAATTTTGTTGGTTAAACCGAAACCGCTTGTGTTGAGGTTATCAATCTCAATTGATTTCATCAAGGAGTTAGAAAGATTAAATGCTACTATTAAATCGGTATAAGGCGTTGTTCTATATTTGATTAATAGTAAGGGTTATTAATGAACGGTCGTTGTTAATAACTGTCCTCAATGAAGTGGATATACTCCCCGATTGAGTATTCGAGAGGGAATAAGTTATAGATATAACAATGATCGACTAAAATATATCAACAAGTGGAAAGTAGCAATGCCAAGCCCTTTTTATCTTTGAATTAAACACATATAGGTTGTTCATCTTAGTTCTTAATTAAAATTAAATCACTCAATCCAAATCCCCCCTTTTAGTTACTAAGTATCATAAAAAGAGAATTATTCCTTTCCCTGTGGATACGAACTCTACTACACTATACTACGTATAAGTGTTTAGTATTGAATTTATTTTGACGCACCGTGACAAAGTGCTCGTCAAATTTGGCGCCGTTGCCGAGGAAAGGCAATTACTTTTCTTTTTATTTTATCTCATAAAAATAAAAAACAAATATATATATATATATATATATATATATATATATATATATATATATATATATATATATAAATTTCTTGCTCTTCTATTTTCTGAGCTTACATGAGTTATGAGTATATGGATACCAACACTTCATCCTTAGAGAGTCAAATTTCCTTCTTGACTTCTCTAATAAAGGAATCTATCTTTAACTCAAAAGCTCAAGATGCCAAGACATGCAACATTTGCATGTCTCACAGGCATCTTACGGACTTCTGCCCAAAGCTCCAAGAAGAATACCTTGCACAAATTGATGATGTACCTCACATGAGGTATGATCCATTCTCCAACTCTAATATGTCCACGGAGGACATGGTTCGGGCTCTTACTAACAGTGTGACCGCCATGCAACAAAACATGGTGCAATTCCAAAATGAGACCAAGTCTAAC